CTGTGCTCACTTCCATTATGTTAGTTTCCATTTTCCTCTATACAAATAAAAAATAAATTTATTCAAAGATTACTTTGTATTAATCGAGTTGCGATTGCATAACTCGAACTAGTTAAATTTCAACTCGATATTAATCCAAGTTATCAGATCCATAACAACACTAACAAATCTATTCTCTTTGGTTTAACGTCATGAATTGACGTTTAGATCCAACAATTTGTGCTGCCATCTAGTAACATAATTTTTTGTAGTTTCTTTATTTTTTTTAAATACTTCCTCATTGAGATAGAATAAAAAAAATATATGCTTGAAATTATGAAATCTTTATTCCTTACGAAGTAATAATAATTTTTCTGTAATAAATTTTATTCAATAATATTGACGTAGGAACCAGAAATTTACAGTTAATGTATAGATAATTTGGAGTTTCTTGGTGGATAGTAAGATTGATTTTATATATTTAATTAAAGATATTTTGAAATTTCGAAGTCATATTATAAAATTTATCGAATATAATAAATGCATTATCATTTCATTTTATTATTCAGGGCATTTTTAGTTTTTTAACATTCATCATCATCATCAGCCTTTGTACGTCCCCACTGCAGGGGCTCAGGCCTTCCTTATAGATGGTTAAGGAGAATGAGCCATGACCCTCCACGCTGACCCAATGCGGATTGGAGGGTATTAACGATTATAAACGCAACGGGACCAACGGCTTAACGAGCCTTCCCGTGCTTCGGAAGTAGATCAAAATAACAATTTTTTGGTCACCCATCCCGTGACCGACCCTTGCGAAAGTTGCTTAACGACTACGATCGCGTGCCGCGGGGCTTATCCACTACGCCACCGAGCTACTAATATTATAAACATAAATTGAATACAATCTCGACGTTCTGAACGCATTGACGGAAATTGGACAGGTTTTGATAAAATACTACATATCGATACAATGAGGAAGTATTTAAAAAAAACTTTGTTCTCGAAATAAAACTAGATGTCGCTACGGTACGTTCTTGATTTCTCCATGACAACCCTTTCGGTTTTCTTTCATGTTTAAAAGTAAATTAGTTTTCAAAACTCAATAAACAACTCATATTCTATTTGTACTTTTTCGTAAATGTATTGTTATCTAATTGTAAGTTTCAAACTTTTCAAATCTGCCTAACATGCTTGGACTAATAAAATCGAATAAAACGTAACTTGATGAAACATATGTTATTTTGTTTGCCTATGCAACTAGAACAAAGAAAGACATTAAATATATTTTTAAAAGCTGGGAGTATCGAGTAATTGTGTAATATGTTTTTGAGGTTATGTCGTATTATTTAAACTGTATCATTTTGAGTTAGAGGTTTTACAGTTGAAATATGTAAAGCACACGTCAGATAATGCCTAATCGTAGTCCTAGAAGTGCATACTTTCACTTAATACTTCAAACTTGCTCCATATCTGATATATTATTTTTATTGACTATAAGAAATAAAATCATTTTTTGTGAACCAATGAACATCAAAAGATAATAGATTTTTTAAGATTGCTCTCAATAACTCTACTTTTCTATCTTACACTATAACTTATATAAAGTAGTAGTGAAAATACCAATTTCAAAAGGATATAATAAAACAACATGTTGATTTTTCTTTTCTTTATTACAACTCTAATGAATACCTCATCACAGAATGCTGCAGGAGCAGCTACATTCTGTTCGTGTCTGGCACATCCAAGATACCAAACTATGGTCATTATATGAGCACAGCATTCCAGTGTACATCGACCAATAAGACAATTACAGCAGTGTTCTCTTATGCGATCTAACCCGGATGTGTCATTATTTTTTTAAATGTACACATAATATTGTTTCCTCCCAATGTCTCGACTTAATTCTACCCCTTATAATTAGGACTTTATTTATATTTAAGTCTAATTCTAATAAATCCAGAGAATCCGGTATTTCTCTCCAGACCTCAATTCTATACTGCCCATGGAACCTAGTATGCTCCCAATAATACAGAAGATAATACAAAATCACCGCCAAAGTTACAAATCGGTCTGCGTAGAAACACGTCTACACATACTTGTCTAAAAAAAGGATGGTCGCAATCGATTGAATACTGTAATATCGATTCTTTTGAATAATCATTTGTTTTTAATTTCATTATTAATAAAATATTTTCCTCTAAGTAACATCTAATTATATTAGTAATCTAATCTAAGTTTTATAATTTTCACGGATTTATATGGTTAGTAATTAATATAAGATTTGTATCAAATTCGATTAGTCAGACATGAAATCGATCTTGTTCTTTGAAAAGAGAGGGACTTCTCTAGGAATGACATTATTAATAAGATGCGTTCAAAAATAACATAATTTAAACTGCGTTCTAAAAAAATAAAGACATATTTTAGAGAGGATTATCTTTCTTTTCCCAGCTTTTAAAAATAAATTGTTGGTATATAATAATTACATTTAACTTATGCTACATTTTGGTGATAGTTCCATCTTGGTACAAGAACTTTTTTTTCGTAGTCCATTTTGACCATTGTTCTTTCAGTTTTTTAATATGTTAATTAAAAGGAACGGTAATTACTGCCTTTGGTCCATTCATTTCCTGCAATAATCAACTTTTGCTAGAGTCGCCATCTAGTGGAGGTGCTTTTTTGGTGCTTTCGTTTGTTTTTTAATAAACCTCATTGTTATTGATATTTATTTTTTCATTACAATATGACAGCGACAGTATAATCGCAGATTTATTGTATAAGTTGCTTTAGAGTTTATGTTGCTATTAAATGAAAGGCAAAGGAAATATAAAAATATATAAATTAAATCGGTACTTTGGTCAACAATACAACTAGACGCATCCCATACTAAAACAATACCACAGAACAATACTCAAATACGGCACCAGACCATAGACCATACACTACGACAACTAAGGAACATAATATCGCAGAGTATATTCTGTGATAATACTCTAGGCGAAAACTAAGCTCAGGAATTGGGTAAGTTATATTATGGATCGAAGATTTTTACCTTAGAATAATCAATAAAGCATAAAAACCATATAGAATCCATGCTAAACTGGCCAACGAAGACATGTATTCATCTTTTTTCCTTATGACGAGTGTTAATGCGTTAAAAAAGATGTATATCAAAAGCCATAGATTTGCTATTTTTACGTTAATGACGTTCGTTGTCGATATTTTATCGATAAAAAATATTCAGCAAGAAACTACCTCCTCGTCAGAGTCAGTGGCCGGCATATTATAGGGAACTTTTGGCAGTGTACAACATTTTGTAAACTTTCGTACAACATTTTAGACACATTTTAGAGGTCCAACATTGTACCATTTACGTTAACCATAAGCCCTAGTTGTACGCTTTCGTACAATGCCGACAGAAACTTCTTCCCCCTCAACTGAACCAATTATCCTTTATTAGTCAATTCACGACTGACATAAAACACATCCAATGAATTGCGTCGGCGACAACAGAAAATGTTGTCGCTGACGCAATGTCTCGAATTAATACTGTGACTTTGGAACAAGATTACGAAGCTCTTGCCAAGGCACAGCAAACAGATGAAGAGCTGGCGAACATTCGCAAAACGTCGTCTCTGCAACTGGAGCTCATCCCAATTCCAGGATCCAGTATCACATTATGTAACACATTTGATATACTCGTTCTTCTTGGCATGCGGACGGCTTTTAAAGAAGATAAGAAGGCTAATTTTTGACACCTGTGTCAGATTTTAGCAGTTCCGCAGAGGTATCTGATTTGGTTACTTAATTAAGAAAAGAAATGGAGACAATTCGACCAGTGCCTGCGTCGCGTCATGCCAAGTCAAAATCTTTCATATTAAAGGACTTAGTATCGGCAACTCATGTGTTTCTTCGTGACGATACGATTCAGAAATCGCTGCAGCCTACATATTTAAGTTCACATCACATCCTTGAAAAACAGGAGAAAACGGTTACGTTAGGTCTGGGTGGAAAACGTGTCACTGTAAGTTTAGACAGAGTCAAGCCTGCTTACGTGGTGGCTGACCCTTCTAGTGACGACGCTTGTTTGCAAACCGGTCTTGCAATTCCTTCAGTTCTTTTTCTACGAGCTTCATCTTTGACTCAGCTTCTCACCATTTTCTCCAAAGAACCTGCATACACTACCCGTTCAGGAAGACAAGTACTTTTTGTGTGTTTTCCGGTACTCGTCCCATACTTGGTTGTTTTTACATTTTACGTTTAGTGTTTTACGTTGAGAAAAGTTTAGTTATTTTACTTTAAGAAAATTTCATAGTGGTGTACATGTTTATGAATAATTTTCTTTCAAATAAAGTGGTATAGTCTAAATGGCGACATTCAAGCACTCAGTACCTACCAGATACACTATACCTTTCTCTTTCAAGCATATATCATTTTCTCTTTTTGAAAACGAGGCCAACTATGTTCGCCAGTTTTGCTTAAATAAACTCCGTCTTGTAGATATTTCATCTATGCAGTATATGGTGCGAGACATTTGAGTATTGTTTTAATATGCGAGGCGTTACTACTTTTGTTGGTTTAATATTCTAAGTCTAGTTGTATTGTTCGAATTTTTCGAAGCATTTAAAATAACTTTTTTATAGCGGTTTTTAGTTACATCTCTGCGTCGAGAATTTTTTTTTTTAACTTTTTCAAGGTGGCAACGGACTCGACTCTGCTTCTAATCGAGTTTGACTTCAGAAAGTAAAGCAACCATCTTTAATTTTTTTGAATAACCGAGACATATTTTCAAAAAAAAAATAAAAAAACCAAACTCATTTCTTATTATACAAATACACTATAATCAATAAGCGTAGGTATATTTAACATTTTTCAACGCCCAATTTTTGTTCTATTGCGATATTAATATATTTTTTTTGTAATTTAACAAATCAAAATCCAGTGGCGGTTAATTATTGAGTGTGCTAAATAAGTAATGTAAATAAAACATGTTAACTAAATAGTCTGTGGAGTGTACCACTACTATGCATTGCATTTAAAAAAAACTTAGCGTAGCATAATATTTTTAGATGTAGAATTTAAAGGTGTCATTTTAGATTATTTATTTAAATATTTCAGTCATATATTCAAGGTAAATATCTATTTTTTTTTCTATGTTATCGACTGTGTCTGTTTTGTGAAGGTTATGATCGAGTAATCACTGAAAACTCGTTTGTAGGTTAGAAATAGTGCGATCTAATATGCAGAACAACCCCCAAGAGCTTTCATGGCAGGCGATACAGGCTATCGTAGGAGTTAAACTTCCTTCGAATGTGCTACGTTTTGATGACATTGGCTTCCATTTAGTCAATAATTCTGTTTCAAGCGCTGAAGAATCCGATTCAGATGTGGAAATCGTAGAAAACGATTGGGAATCTGATAACAATGTATCATCCCGACCCGAACATTCGGACAATGAAAAAACAACATCGCCTGATCGAGAACAGAGTGAGTCGCCTATTCTTCATCTCGTAGAACCGGACAATAACAACACTGACAAAGATACATTACTTTATACAGAAAAGTATTCAGATAAAATGGATCGCAAAGACGTCTTATCAGAAAAAGAACGAATTTCTCAAAGTCACATAGATGATACAGACAGTTCTAATGGTAATGTGATGTCTATCGAAAATTATTTAGAAGTCACACTCTCTACTGAATCAGATACAAGCTACACATGCAGCCAATGTAACCAAATATTTTCCAGTGAACAGGCGTTGTCGTCACATAATTGTGGTGCAAAGTTGTTAGAGGATAAAAAATATCCATGTCATGTGTGTTCTGAAAAATTTCCTAGTTACTGGGAACTGCGAAAGCATATAAATAGTCATTTCCCTGGTATGCTCGATTCTAAATCTAGTTTTTGTCACCTTTGTCAAAAAGATTACACCAAGACAGGATTCATGAACCATCTTCGTAAGCACACCGGAGAACGGCCGTTTGTTTGCGAGCTTTGTCATAAAGCATTTTCTCAATCCAGTTCTTTATCAATACATATGAAGTTTCATCTAAACGTACGCAAGCATGCTTGCACAGTGTGTGAGAAAAAATTTGTAACCAAAAGTGAACTGTCACGTCACATGACTGTGCACACTAAGCAAAAGTCTTACTACTGTGGAGTATGTGATAAAGCTTTCACCCGCTCGGACAACATGAAGAAACATGAAAAAACTCATGGTTAATTTAGGTGTTTTAATGTGAAGAGCATCATTAGCAAACGCACAACTTTTTTTCAATTGAAATATACATTGATATATTTTATTATATAAAAATAAGTCAATTAACCAATTATAGGTACATTAGTGTGTTGTATATGATGCATTTCACTATATAAGTTATCAATTCTCTGATTGCCAAAAAAAAACTAGTTTTATATCTTTAATATAATTAGAATTTGCATTATTTTATACCAAATTGAAAATATCATGATCTAGTTCATAACTTAGTCACTATGGTGTGTTTATATGAGTGTAAAAACGCTCAGTGTGCTGTATTTGCTTTTGAGCTAGGGTTTAATTTATACTATGTCTAATGCATGTTTAAGGTAAATTAGTATAATAGAACAATGCCTTTGCAGGTGCTTTACAATAAGGTCACACATATCTCAATCCAAAGTTGCCTTTTAGATTATTAAGTGATATTTTTACAAGTGGATATAAGTCAAATGTCCAAAGATTCCAATTGCCGTAATTATAATGTTTACATAAGATAGGGAAATGCCTATTACTCATTTGAGGCCTTCTATCTAAAAATGTTAAACTTACTACCTACCTAATCTATTATATGCCTAAATATTTGTTCCTGCTTCACATGAAAGCTTTAACAAATTATTATATTATGTCACAACTACAGTGTTTTGAGAAACTGTAGAACTATATGCCAAATTTTAGATTAAGTGTTTCAAGTGATTCTTATTGTACTGTGTTGTAACCAAAGCAATAATAATTTTATCTGTGCCTATTTTATATAAGTATCTATACCAAATATATCTTAGATGATAGTTTCTTGACATGAGGACTAATGAATTTTAATATTTTATGAAATAGTGGGGTACTATTTTTTTGTACTTGAAGTCTTACAAATAATGGCCTTGTCGAACAATATAATGTTTACGCAACTAGATTTTGTATCGATTTACACAAATTAAATTTTTAAAAAATCATCACAATCATAAAAAAGGCTTCATAGGACTGATACTCCTTAGCCTATATACCAAAACTTTAGATAATATAATTAATCCCAAAGATGATAATTTTATGTTGAATAGTTTTAATTGGCAACACCAAAGTCTGTATTTTTCAACTGTGCCACTTTTCAATTTTATGTAGTTGTAAAGATGTTTACAACCTATCTATGTTTTGATGTTATATGTAAGAATAGACAATAATCATATTTTAATATATTTATTTTAATATTTAACTAATTAGATGTTAAAACTGCATGACTTGTTTGTAGAATAAGGGTTTGATAATGAGCCAAATGGGAAAATTACACAAAAATCTACAAGACTGACAATAATATTCAGAGTAGATATAAACATGTGCACAAAACGTATTTATTTAATAATACTTTGATAAATAATATTGAGACTATTTTTGAGAATGCACCTTGTTAAAAACTCAACATGACAATTAGTATACCTAAGATCCATTTGATGAATAAATTATAGACCATATTTTATGGATTATGTATTTGATAAATGTCGATTTTATTAAAGAGTTGTTTGTTGCATATTTTCTTTTTTTTTTTTACTTCTAGACTAAATGGCTCATTTTCCCTTTGTTCTAGGTTGAAATAACGGTCGCGATGTCCGCCCGGTTACGTAATCTTAATCCATATGAATTACATAAATATCTTGTTAACGTGTACTGTCTTAACATCAAGGGTTCTACGGGACTTATAAAACGCAACACATCAAAAGATCGAACTGACCTTGATGTTATTCGGGAAAACCACAAGTTTCTCTGGGAAGAGGATGACATAATCGATTCCTGGGAAAAACAGTTGGCCAAGAAATATTACGATAAGCTCTTTAAAGAATATTGTATCTGTGATTTAACACGATACAAAGAAAACAAAGTAAGTTTAGTTGTTTTTATTCTTTCCAAATAAACAACTAGGTAATTAGCTTATCAAAGCTTTAGTTAATGATAAAGGAAGGCATCGTCAGTAGGTTTGTTCATATTTGCCTACTGTTAAACCAGGTTTAGCAGTGGCAAATAATTTTCGTCTGATATATTTCCATATAAGTATGTACTTATTTAATTAGGGATCTACTTAAATTAATAGCAAATTTATTAATTTCAAAACTATAAGTTCTGTTTCGTTGTTGGCTCTGTAAACGATAGGTTTGTATCGTTTCGAAAGTCCAATCGTAGCATAAAGAGTACAGTTTATTATGAGAATAACAATGTCCCCTGATTTAAAATCGGATAGGGTCGAACCCCTATGTAACTCAATTGCCTTTTTTTACCTCGGACGCCTTCCTTTGTGCTATACTGGGGAGCGCGATGCGCCACAAAGGCCGTAGTGCCTTTATATGCTAAATATAGCTACTGTATGCGCACGAGTGAGGTTACTACCTACTGTAACGCACATCTGCCGCCAGAAACGATCGATGTAGAAAATTATAGACTCGTACTGTCTCGCTCTTGAAAACATCACGGTGATTGTTGGTAAAAGATATATAAATGCATACATAAGTGCCTATAGGTACTTTTGAGATACCTATATAGATATAACGTTTCAAGTAGGTACCGATCGATCCACGTAGCCTGCGTAGTTTTATATTCATACGATCCATAAATTTCTTGTGATAAACCTAGTTGCTTGTTGATTATACTTATAATTGGACAGTTATCACAGAATGAACTTTATAATGCCCATAGCGTCTATGATCCGAGGCAAAGACAATTAATTTTTCGGTGTGACCACGGGTTTGACCAAACATCCTCGTTTCTTTCATACACACACATCAACACATGATAAAACTCTAGCAGTGCTATTAATAAACTAGGTTTAGCGTCAGAGTTAATTAACTCTGTAATTGCGATTTTAGTTTTAGTCCAAATTCATATTATACAGATAATAAGCAAACCTACAATACCTTCTAGGAGTAAATATTATTCCGGTAGAACCTCGTACTAGGTTAACCTTTTCCAAGACTGTTTAATTATATGAATTTTTGACTAATGCTAAGTGCAGTCTCAGCGTAAATTTACTCCAACGCTAAACCCTGTTAATTAATAATAATAACACTGTTTGGGTTCTATTATATAGTTCTGTTTTTTTTTGGACTTTGATGCCTTACAAGCCATCCCCGCCAGTGCCGTTTAATGCTGTTTCTGGTGCACTTTAAAGACATAGTTCTGTATTTGCTTAAAGGATAATCGAGCATTACAAATAATTCAAATGAAACTTTAAAATTGAAATTTACATTGCTTCGGCAAAGGACAATAAAAGCTAAAACCGTTAAAAAGCTAAAAACAAAAAACAAAAGCTAAAAACAAAGAAAGATAAAACCGTTATAAAGATGTTACATACCTATGGGAAAGAAGAGCAAGATATAGTTATGAAAAACGTGCAAAGTGCGGAGATGGATTTGCGTACCACGATTTCCATACAAATAATAAATTTTAAAAACTAGACTTCTCAAAGATATTCGCGTTATCTTCTATAATATAAATCTATTATTGTTTTCTTAATAATATCAAAACAAATTATCTTTATATTACAAAAAATAATTTATACAAATTAATTTTATACATCAAACAATATCTTTAAGTTACAACAAAATAATTTGACTTAAGCACGCAATAAGTCGATATAATACCTACCTATTACCTGTAGGTACGAGTATGATGTTACGCAAAAGTTTCCCATTTGAAAAATTTTATATTTACCCAAAGACCATCCAAAATCTTCTATTTATACCTAGAATTTTAAGTAAATTATAGCCCGTCACCAGCGTGTGATGTGGTTTTCCGTAGGTGAAAAAATTGTCTTGATTATGTTAGTATTTACGAAGATTAACCCCTACAAACAAATATAAAAACATACCCCTTAATAATATTAGTACCTATAGATTTGACTAGCTTTCGCTAGCGGCTTTGCCCGCGTGGTCCCTAGAGAAATGTTTGGTGGGATAAAAAGTATCCAAATTTCATTAAAATCCGTTCAGTAGTTACGGCGTGATTAACGGACAAACATACAAACTAATATATTTGATCAATTTCGCATTTACAATGATATACTGAAAAATCATCCCCATCTCAGGGTGTCATGAACCAAGTGGATTTTTTAAGCGTTTTTTCATTAAAAACATCTTAACAAAGAAACTGTCACATTTATAATATTAATAGATTTGATTGCGTCCAAATATTAGCTCAATCGGCCCATCAGTTGAGGAATAAAGTTACTGAGACAAACAGACCTATTGATTCTATGATCCTGTTTAACCTACAAAACCATACGATTACATAAATAGATTTTGCTAGCTATTAGCCGCGGCTTCGCTCATGTGGTCCATGGGTTACTGTGTGCACACTGCCCTAGAGTTTTAATTTAAAATTGCCAGTAAGCATCCAGCTTTATATCATCATTATCAGTTTATGGCTATGACCCAGCAGTGAGGACGTTGATATACTAAACTGTACTGCCTGCCCAATATATGGAACCAAATAAGAAAAATCTACCGGTGTTTCTGTGGATAACCCGCATGTCTTCATATAATAGACCAGTTGCTCTTCTTGTCATTTTAATGCGCAGTAGAATAGACACGCCTTGCAAAAATACAAAGAAATATTTTCTTTGAAATAATAGTAAAAGATGTTTAATAATTAAGCCGCCATACACTTACTTTACATGTAGGTCACCATAGATTATACATAATACCAGTGGCGGACTAACCCTGTCGGGGGCCCGGGGCGGCATTACAACTTTTTACAACTGGTGCAGAAACTTGAGTTTGTGTTTACACCGCCTCCCCTGCTAAAACTACGAAACTAAGAAAGATAAGGCATTACAACCTCAATTTATGATTTGATCAAGGGAACTTTCAGCCATTTGGATGCCCTTCAGGATAAGAGGCCAGGGGCGGTTATGTTCCTGAGATTATAGAGTTCAACCAAACAAGCTTTATTATTAGTATATATTAGCTATTTATATGTCACAATATCATAGGTTGCATTGCGATGGCGTATTGAAAAAGAAGTTGTGCTTGGGAAAGGCCAATTTCAATGTGGTAACAAACACTGCAACAGCGACACTGAGCTGAAATCTTGGGAAGTTAATTTCGCTTACGTAGAAGACAATCAAAAGAAAAATGCTCTAGTTAAACTGCGTAAGTACAAAAAAAAAACGAATTTCATTTTTCCCTTACCTATAGACTTTAAATTACAGCTGAAATCAAATTATAAATATTTGTAGGTTTATGTCAAAAATGTTCGGACAAATTGAACTACAGATCTAAGAAACGTGAAATCAAAAGGCTAAAGAAAAAAGGGAGATCAAAGAAAAGAAGCAAAGACAGAGATAATAACGTTGAAGCAAGTCCTGAATTTGAAACTCCTGAAAATAACGTTATTATGTCAGAAGAACCTTCTACAAGTTCTTCAAGCAATATGGCTGCGGGTACTGACGAAGAGACGTCGTTATGGAAAAAAGGTTTGATTATATTACCTTCTATTATTTTCATTTGTTTTTCAGAAATATTCAGATTCACCCAAGTCATAATTGTCATCCAAATCCCATAATAAAACAATAAAGATTCCCGTAAACATCTTGTAATGGTAATTTAACCCACAGAAACATCATTCTGTGTTTTGAGTCATCTCAAATTGCTTACCTATAGGTGCGGATCCACCGGTATGGACACAATATATATGCCCACTAACCTAATATTACTTGTGACGTCACATTTTCTTAGACAACCGAGGTCGATTGCCCGCGTAGAACTATGCACTGAACAAAATTTGGATTATTATCATTCACCCTGAGGCCTATGAATATGTTTTGCATACCTAAGTCACAAATAGAAACAACAAGGGGTATGTCACTTCTCTATGACCCATATCTGAGCTATATTTGCCGGACACTGACAGAAACCTCCTAGGGGTTCACGACTGGTCCAGTAGTCCAGTGATAGATCCCTCCAATGATATTGTTCCGGGCATTGCTCATTCTCAACTGGAGTTAAGACTCAAATGTTCTAAAGTATTTCCCTACCCACAGAGATAGACCCGAAATGTGTGTGATAGGTGCAGGAAAAAGCCTTAGCTGTGTTTAATTTTCTCTTCGATGTTGGCCCACAGGTGATTCCACATAAACTGACTGTCCGCTCGATGGTTTGCGGGGAGTTCTGATACATTACGTTTCGTCAAAAACATTATCTACATTTACTAGTCATAAAAACAAAACTAGAACAGTATAGAACATATTTTTCAGATTTTTCGTAGATCCGTATCTAAAAATTTTATGCTGATTACCCTACCCAACCAATAGCATACCTACCTCAACGACGCATTGGTGATTATAGTTTATCCCTCGGGTATTGATTAGGTATTGATTACCAACTCGTATAGTTAAAGTCTAACGCCCAGTTGCACAAATGTTTATGAAGGTTTCATGACGACTTTAACCTCTAATAAATGTTCTATTGTAAATTCTAAATTGGAAAGTTTGGGTAAGTAATGTCGCTTTGAAGTAATGAACATTTTAATGAACGTTTATACAACGGGTAGTTTATATACCTACCTACAATCGTTAAGTAATCAGTGTCTTATTCACCTTGTAGAATAAATAATTATTATTTACTCAATTTTGGTTTTAAGCCTTTCTGGCGATACGCACAGGTACACCTCACTTGCGCTTTTTAAGACTTGTTTGTAATAAATAAATAAATTATCGAAGTCGCTATGCAGATGCGTGCATTTAATTTAGAGTTGCCCGAATTGAGTACTTTGAAACTCTGCTAAACTGCAGACATAATAATGTTATCATAAACTGATAACTAATCGTGAATATAAATAATAAAGAGTACCTTACCATTTCAGTGCCACAAGAAACGGAGGAAAAGACACGCGAGGAAGAGTTCGAAGAATACTTAGAAGATTTACTACTATAAATAAATAAGTCACATTTAATTTAAATCTTTTATTATATACTATTACATGACTAATATTCGTGTGATCAGATAAAAAATTGGCATAACAGCAGATACAAAAATCACATAATTACTTAGTAAAATTATTTTGTACCTAAATTTATTGACACAAAGTACGTTTACAAAACACAATAACATTCAATAAACTCCAGTCATAACGAGTTACTTCCAGTTAACGAGTTTTCATTCTGAAAAAGACTAGATTAAATAAAAATATATATTAGTCAAGTTTATATGCAAAGCAAAGCAAGGATATCATTCACTTAATGTGTTTATAAACATTATTTTCTTTACACACTCACAAAATAATTAGTTCCAATTTAAAAAAATGAGATTTTTTATTTATGAGATTTAAATATCATATCACCGATGAAAACTCTAAATCAAATTTGACTGGAGTGTAAAATAAAATTTATAATATCATAACAAAACAATTATATACCTAAATATCATACTTATAACATTTAAGTATACACTTAATGATATATATAATAAGGTATCAAATCACGCGAGTGTGAAAACTAAAAAATGCTAAAACAAACATTCTCTCTACATTCCATCTCGTTCTTCGTATTTCATACAATATATTTAATAACAATATTAAATTTAACAATTCCAATTGATATTTGATCTTAAATGATTTTTACTTTAATCACCCTGAATAGAATTGAAATTTATTTAATCAAATTAATTTACTCACTTTTAAACGTAATAATAGTCATACGATTATGTTTTACGATCTCTTCATTAGTGTAACATAGAAAAACCTAAACAATAGCACTCAGACTTATTATAACAGAGATTTTAATATATTTTAGTAATATGAAATATTCGCAAGATGTGCACCTACAGATAAATGACAACTAGTCTAATGCAATTTCTACATTAAAATTACTACCCTGATTGCTGTATCGACAAAGTGGCAATATTCAAACACAACCAAGCGAATACTTTTCAACATGTCCTATAGACTTACGAAGAGCACGGATAACAGTCTCGTTGAAGTATGAGCTTATATTTTATTCAATTCATAAACGAAACGCTCACCTCCACCATGATAGGTTACACGAATCACAGAATTGACTTCTTACTAGAACGACGATTTAGGAAGACTAATAATGCTTCATTCAATTTGAGCTGTTAACTCGGATTAAAATAGTGTAATTATGTTTATTGAAAGACTTTTTTGGAGATTTTTGTCATGACTTACAATATTCATAATAACAGAAAGCAAATGAAATTACATAGTCCAGAGAAGATTCATCTCCATTGCCTTCATTTAAAAGAAGAAACTATCAGTGATCAATCACATTGAGATAATGTATTATATCTGAATTAGTTCTCATGTACATCATTTTCTTATTTATCAGAAGGATCTTACTTAAATGTTTGAATAGACAACATCCTAATTTCTTTTTATAAGATGTAATTTGAAAATTAAATAAGGCTATTTTTTTAATGGTGCCAATTGATGCCCAGGCGCAGATTTTATTATTACACTATAATTAAATGTATTTTAGAATAATATAAATAAAATATATATTTAATTAAATGACTAACAATATTGCAGTAATCTAATACATTGTTAAACTTAATGTAAACAAGGGAGATATGCGGTCGGATCACTACTTTAGAATGAAAATAGGGTCATATATAACAACAGATATTTAAAATGAAACCCACTAGAGCCATGAGGAGTCTTTGGAAATTTAAATCTTTCTATAATCACAACGACCCGAGAGCAGAAACCCTAATCGAAATCTATAAGGGAATACACATATGTGCACGCGCATAATAAGTGCCATTAGCGTTCATGTTATTAGTGCAATAAAGACATGTTTTGAAAAATTATTCGGTGCAAATTCTAATAAACGCGGCCGCGATTTTTTTTTTACAATGAACGCAAATATGTTGTTACAAAACTATAACTGCACAGGTATGGATCCGTCTAAATATAAGGCTCGTTTTCATACTCCGCTACAGACTTCAACAGCGTACAAATGCTACAAGGCAAAGGTATTACTCACCTTTTTAATTTACATTGGACCGTTTATGTTATGCCTGTTACAATTGTTTAATCTTATAAAAAATGTGTTAAGAACAGAGATTCGAAAAACAAAGTCATAGAACATTTATAACGAGATGTCGGCCATTAAATTAAAGGGCTAGTCGCCTAATTGGTCGGCTGATTATACAATTTGGCTGCGACATGGACATTACGTACCATTATATAAATTTAAAACAATATATTTCTAGAACAATTGAATATCTTAACCTTGCCAAGTAATTGAGATGTTAACTATTATTTATTTTTTTATGACTAGCTATTTCAATAATTGTAATGAATTAAAATGTTATTAATGTTATATTAACATAATTTTTATTATAATTACAGGATAAATAGTCTGTATTATGTATCGGAGTTCGGAAACGCGCCTTAAGTAATAAAAATCAAAGTATGAGTGGTTAGTTAGTAGGTTTAGCTTATTTATTGTGCGTTTGCGCAGATTTAGCTACGTCCTCATCGTCGGAACAGTCTTCGTCGTGTGTGTGCGTGAGTTGTCGCGGCGTTTCCGGACGTACGTGTGGTACTGATGTCGATGTCTAAACGCAAAAAATATATACGCTTTAAAAAATACCGGAGTATTATTTGAATTATATTTTATTTCATGTATATCTATAAAATAAAAAATGCAAGAATATGTCTATTGCGGCCTTATACAAGATGCTAACAAATTATAACTCATACCAATTATCATGACACCTAAGGGCCTATCCTATTTGGCCGAATCGATCTTATAATTTTTTAAATCCTATACATAAATATCGGAAGCAGTGTCAGGTTCTCCACTCCGTTGCATTAAAAATTATGTAAAAATGCGTGTCTTGGGAGTCGTATTGGCATGTCGAAAATAGGCGACATTTTGTTTTCGGAGAAATAGAATAGGCCTTCATGTGTCATGTTAATTTGTAAGAGCAGTAGTTACGATTATTTTAAAAGATGGTATCTTTAATTAAAACATCATTTTTGGTCTTCATATACCGACTAAAAATAAACTATAATTCTGTCTTAAAATAATCACCCTGTACATTTTACTGGCCAGATGGTTCACTTTAATTCATATCATGAAATTGATATCCAACTATTTGATTTATAAAGCTGTAGTGACCACTTTATGGGTACCACTTTGAAAATAAATTGGTTTCCAGTTTTATAAAAATTAACTATAATAATTTATATTTAATTATGTAACAGTACAATTATACTCCTAGAGCTGCTCTATTATATAGAGTACTATCAACTATAAAAATATGTGCAACTAATTTGTTAGCATCCCATATATGAAACATTAAATTAGTCTATGTATAGGTAAATTAATTAAATAATTAAAATAGTATGCATTAGACTATACACAAAACAGACCGTAAGCCGTTCAGATAGAGCTGAAAATAATATTGAAGAGTATACTTGAATTTTTCGCCAAATTGAAAACGATTAAATGTCACAAAGTGCAACTATATTCTGTCACTTAATCTGAAGTGATGGAAAGGCTTTCATTTATTCTGTAATTAAAATCATACCTTTGCATCTGTAGTATCGACAGCGGCGGTTTCATCCACTTCCAAAGTATCTTCAGAAATAGATACAACACTAAAAGCCCTTTGAGCACTTGGGTGCCGGGAACTGCAACAATTACAAATAAAATACAATTATTATATCTTACGTCCACATGTACACAGCTCATGTAATCAAAAATTGTAATGGCTTAGGTTCACACTTATAATGGGGCATCATAACCATTTTTAATGTCTCTCATCGATCCTAACGTCTTAAAAAAACAACATATTTATTCAATCTACAAATGCCATAAAACCGCATTTAAATTTAACATTCTCAAATGATGAGGTAGATAAGGGGCTTTCCCGGCCCTGCAAATTACAAAAAAGAATTCAGGTACATCGCATTTATGAAAATTTATTTTTAAATATTTCAGAACATAAGTAATTTTAAGTTCATTAACATATTTTATCCTATTTTAATACTTGTTTATTCTTTAAAAATACAAAGTATGCAATTTTTTTATATTTCGCCAAAATTCATAGCTTTTCGAAGATATAACTTAATATTTTTATATGAGAGCAAAGGCGCAACACTAATTTGAATCTACGTTAAAACAGACAAAATATACGTCACATGATCGATTTGAATATTTTTTTGTATATGAACCCAAATGTTTTAATTGTTAAATTGTTACATTGTTTTGTGCTGTCATTTTGAACAGTGATGTCATATTTTTCTAATTCAGCTTTATTTACTCACTGCTTAAAAAAAGCTTTTCTGCACCAATAAAAATGCACAAATGGCGGACCTAATGCCATGAGGCATTCTCAACCAGTCAACTGGAGAGTTGTAGCAAAAAAAATATTTTCAAATGAGAAAATTACTTGGAATTCGTACTTTATTGCTGGATTCAATGTTTTTAGATTCTGTATCACTAAACCCTTGTGAGTAATCATCGCATATATTATTTTTAAAAAGCCTAACACATACGTTTAACAGAATATTGATAAACGACGAATAGGCGGTATGTGCTTACAGGGACGTGGCCTATCGATGGCTTAAGGGGGGTGACGACAACGGAGAATAAGCTAAGTATGAATTGTAGCTAAAGTCGAGAGCATGTGAAGATTTTTAATTGTAGTACGAGCTTCACATCTACGGCAATTGTATCAGTATAGAGTCCTACTTGTAAAGTTACAAAATAAATAAAACTTGTAAATAAGTTATTACATTAATTAGAAAAATAGAATAAAAAAACAACTAATTTAATTAACTGGAACAATATAATTAAGAGAGAATGATTTGACATATGTTAGTTGTTTTTCACCCAGGCGGGTTTTTTATTTTAATTATAATTTTGTTTATGTTTTTTAGTTAGACAAATTAATTGGTTTAGAAAGCAAAAGGACAAACTCCATATTTTTAAACTTAATAGATTTTTTATTAGTATGATTTTTTGGAATCCTTGTATTGAGCCCTTATTTGCCCATATTGTAGTATTAAAAACAAAACATTTTTTTTTCATTAAATATAATGGCGTCACACAACCGCCACATTTGTTTTTTTTTTTAACGTTAACGAATCTAACCTCGATTTTATAGATGATATGAGCTAATAAAAAATATTACACACATACATACAAATTACGCGCGAAAAACATATCTAATATCTAAAACATAACACATCTCTAAGGGGGGACAGATGCCCTCCTGCCCCGCATTGGCGACGTCCTGTGCGCTTAAATCCCTTTTTTTATCCGAGATGGGCTCACTCTTGACCTCAGGCGTAATATCATTAAGCGTAAGGCCTAAGATGGGACGAGTTTGCCCAGAAGATACCTATTCACTAGTGCTTTAAATATTCCTGGGTTATAGGATACCGGGTAAACAGAGGCAGGTAGGCTATTCCACTTGGCTGTGCGCATAATAAATGTATACGTGGAATGTGAACCAGGTGGGCGTGATAATTTGCTGTAATCCTGGATTCCTGATGGTAAAAAAGTGCTGGCGGAATACGCCGATGCAGCTCAGAAGCACACTCCGAAGTACAATCTGTAGTATACCGACAGTGAAGCAACTTATCGGCGATGAGACTACAACTAATTTGCGTACCGGTCTATGGTGGGCGTGTCGACGGTGAATCGTTGCTCGTGAGCGACCGTAGACTCGTGGGGCATCAACATGGCCGGCGCTCGGAACATGTAGCAGAACGGATAATACATCAAGTTGAGGAACGAAGCCGCGTACAAATCCGCGTACCTAACGACCTGCGTACAAAACAATTGCAACTTAATCAGAACATTCGAATTTCATGATATATCTAAGGAAACAATAAACTTATTCAGTGGTATTAATAAACAAGGTCGGAGTAAATTTACGCTTGCTATTTTAGTATAAGTCCAAAATCATATTATACGAGAAATAAGCAAACCTACTACCTTCTAGGAGTAAATATAACTCCCGTAGAATCTCGTACTAGGTTAACTTTTTCCAAATCTCTGTTTAATAATATGAATTTTGACTAATACTGAGTGCAGTCTCAGCGTTTTACTCCAACGCTAAAACTTGTTTATTAAAAACACTGATTGAGTATTGAGTATAAAAGCATCATGTCCAATTTTGATCTAAAAATTTAATAACGCGTCTAGTGATGTATATATCTCAAAACTTAGCTTATTTTTTACTTATTTATAACGTGTAATTAAGTGTTAACATAAAGTCAGGATAAACATTGCGAGATTGCTAAATATTAAAAAAAAATACCCTATGCGATTCGGACCTTACAATGACTGTTTGCTACACTACCCCAATGTGATTCGGACCGTACAATGACAGTATGCTACATTTCGTTTCATCTACTACATAGTGATCTTCAAATTATAAAAAGCTTTTATTCCAATGCATTAATTTTTAAGGTTTGGCGGCCGATATAACTTACTAGTAACCACTGCGGTATCGAGTTCCTCATTTACCTATACACATAAATCCCCCGTAACCGTAAAAATTCTGCATAGAAAAACATTGATCATTTACCTGGGAAGAGAAGAAAGTCTGCCGAGAACCCGACCGGAAGAGAGACCCGAGCATGCCATAAGCGAGATCCATTTTATGTGTGACGTCACGAATCGACATACGTAGTTTAGTAATATCCGGCTTTTCCTTTGTACTCGAGTCTAGATCTCTGTAACATAAAAATATAATTATTTCTTAACCACGATCACCAGCTAGAGAAAATATTATAAGAATATATATTATTTGACTAATGTTATATAGTCAAACGATTTAATGAAAAAGAAAATCATTATTATTTTATAGTAGTCTATAATATATAGATAGGATATTGCTAGTAACCTTACCATACAACCGTCCGTGTATGGTGTATATTAATTAATTGTAGTTTATAATGCTCTATTTATAAGGATGGCGTATATAAATTAGAATGGAAAATATTCATTTTCTGAGTGTCCTTATATTTATAATTTACTAGCTTCCCCCCAGCAGCTTCAGCTGCATGATCCTATATGTATTATACATACAAACCATTCACTTAAATCACTCTGTATATGGATGAAAATCGCATTAAAATCCGTCGTATAATTTACTCGTAAAAAATCTCAGCGTATAGACAGCGGAAAAAAGGCTTTTATACTATGTATACAGTACAATAATATTCTTTTTATTACACAAGAAAATATATCTACTAACACATCCCGAAACCGATTTACATCATATTTGTTGAACAATAAGACACATAATTTTAATTGACATTAATTAATTAGAAATGATGCACAAAAATTATCACTAAAACTGTCTAATAAAAAAAGGATTTTGAAAAACGGTCATTTCGCGGAAATATCGATGAATATATATAACATAGAACCTCTAGATTTTGAAGACGTTAAAGATAATAACCAACTTCATTATCGGTTTACTTAATCATTTGTCAGGCTGACCAATCAGAGTTAGTCTGTTCATTCCTAGACCAATCAGGTTTGTAATGTATTTTATATATCTAGTTATAAAATCTATACCAATATTATAAAGAGGAAAGATTTTATTGTTTGTTTGTTTGCATCGAATAAGCTCCGAAATTACTGGACCGATTTAAAAAATTCTTTCACTTACGGGTAACTACATCATAAGCGGTTGACATAGGTGAAGTCACGGGAAAACACTAGCTGTTCTATATTAAACAAACAAAAACTAAATTTTGTCTAATAACTTTGGACTTGATTATATATTTATTTCTTCATGTTGTAGGTACCAATCAAATTTTTTTTTATTCAGACAAAGCGTGACGTTCCATTATTCTTATCATATAAGATTAATAATCACAACCTACGCAAGGTTACACTAGCATTAATGATAGTTTCCTCTTATGTATTTTATGTAATTCATTCTATTTATAATCGATAACAATCTTTATTCAGCAAAACATATAATATTACATAGTGGTAAAAATTTACATGTTTTGCTCTTCCCTTGCAATAATTTTCTACATTGACCCATTGCGAAATCGTACCCAGGACCAGCGTGCGAACCACTCGGCTACGGAGGTCATCAGGTATGTTATATAATATGGGATCGGTTGTAGAAGCCTATAACGCTTGTGACTCTGAACTTATCACGATCAGCCCCAATGCTGTATCACAGGTCTTCCGTTTGTATGTGAATCGTATCTAATAGATAGAACGAACCATAACCCACCGGATGGGCTCAGTGCGGTTCGATGGGTGTTAGCGTATGCAGATGCAGCAGAGATGTTTATTTGCCTTCCGAAACTCGAGATAATACCACCTTATAGATGGAATGACGACGGAATGAAGATCGAATGACCAAGGAGCTCGAGATGGTAAATTTTTGGTCACCCACCCTATTACCCTTGCAAAAGTTGCTTAACAACCCCCGCGAGCTCACTACTGCGCCGTCGAGATCTTGATAGTATTGAAAAAGGATTATTTAAACGTTTTTTTTTCTTTTACAATACGAGAAAATATGGCTTATCCTTGACCCGTAACCGTATATACATTTTAGTATTATTACCTAATAGTCTCAGTTCCAATCAGTAAGCTATGTTTTAGTAATATTCCACTTCCAAGATTAATCACACATAGTATGACGTCAAGGACGTGATTATTACGATTTCACATACACAATATTTACAAATGGCATAGATAAAGTCCACTATAAATGAACAAACGGTAAAATACTATCCAGTGCTAAATACTCAATAGATATTCTTTCGACTGTGTATCTTACTACAATAATACAAGGGATTTACTTTAAAACCAAGTATGCAGTTTACTAATTAATCTGCATTTATCATAGGAAGTGCGAAAATAGATTTTATCAATATTAAATAACAAATTAAAAACTAAATCAGTTCAAGAATAAAAATTTTCACAGTATAAACTATTAAAAAATATAAATCTAAAGGGTTTAGCCGGATACGTATGACGAGTCGGCCCCCAAATGGGAATCGATATTGAAACTTATGTTTTAATATAGACTTGATGTTCAAACACGATTTATGTACTTTTCGCGACCGACTTCCGCTTTGACCTTGAGATAGAGAGCAAAATATCCGTATGCTTGACTATTACTGAATGTGATATATCTCTGAAGCTAATTAAGATAAAGAAGTGAAACTAACGCGAGGTATTAGGTTACATTACAGAGTATATCACATATATTTTTTTATAATTTTTAGAATAAAAAATTACATAAAAAAAATAAAAATAAAAAAATACATGTTTTTTTTTCTGAGTTCTCTGTGACTTACAATCACGAAATTAATATATGTTATGCTCCTTTGTGTGCTCTATCACCCATAAAAATTGCGTGAAAAAAAAGTTGGTGCAACACAATGAAAAAAAATTATATGTGATTCGCGCCTTGTAGTGTGAGTGTATAAACAAACAAGTTCGAACTTGTTATCGAGCTGTTTACTGCATCGTTTGTTTAGCTAAAGTAGCAGTCATTTGTATTACACAAGAAGGCAGTTTGGGACTCAAATTCTGTCATAGGTATTTTGTATCAGCATTTTGAAATTATTAACTATCGAACCAAATCATTATTAAGTAATAATGTCGAAAAAGTGTAAAAATTGTAACAAGTACCTGTGTAAGATTCCTGGTTATAAAAAAATTATAAAGAATGAAGAAGAAGTTAAAGTGTTTAGTGACTGTTTGAATAAAATCGTAATAGTAAATGATATTTTTTGTGAGAAGTGTCGACTTATCCCATATATTAACAAAAAAGCTTCTACTTCTAAATGTGCAGCATTTAACTTAGCCGAAATAATGGACGATCAAAATAATCTCTCAGTACAATATGTGAAATCAGCACCTAATATCATCAAAGCAGAAGTGAAATCAAGACATATAAATAGAAAAATCTATCGAATTTACATTCACTATATTTCCGAAAGTAATGACTACAATAGTATTCTTCGTTATTGCTGTGCTTGCCCCAATGGAAAATGGCTGTTCTCATGTAGCAGCTATTATTTATTATTTATCATATGGACGATATTTGTCCAAAATCGTACGTCTTGCTGAGGTCCTAACTAAGTTATTTGCGACTCATAGTGTTCCGATTGTAATTAATTACAACAGTGACGATGATTAATATTTTGTTTCTTGTATTTTGATAGACACGAAAAAGGAATAATAATAAGTATTGAACACTGGCTGTTTTTTTTTTTCATTTCTTTTTAACTATTATCCCATCTCTTAAGACTAGTTACTTATGTTTTAAAACAAGCTGATGTGAAATTTCAAAAAAAAAAACAATGATGTAATGTGAAAACCTTATAATACAGGGGTATACCATAAGACAGAAATCACATATAATTTTTTTTCGTTGTGTTGCACCAACTTTTTTTTCACGCAATTTTTATGGGTAATAGAGCACACAAAGGAGCATAACATATATTAATTTCGTGATTGTAAGTCACAGAGAACTCAGAAAAAAAACATGATTTTTTTATTTTTTATTTTTTTAATGTTATTTTTTATTCTAAAAATTATAAAAAAATATATGTGATATACTCTGTAATGTAACCTAACACCTCGCGTTAGTTTCACTTCTTTATCTTAATTAGCTTTAAAGATATATCACATTCAGTAATAGTCAAGCATACGGATATTTTGCTCTCTATCTCAAGGTCAAAGCGGAAGTCGGTCGCGAAAAGTACATAAATCGTGTTTGAACATCAAGTCGATATTAAAACATAAGTTTCAATATCGATTCCCATTTGGGGGCCGACTCGTCATACGTATCCGGCTAAACCCTTTTCGTAAAAGTTTAAATATGTGTTAGTAGTAAAATTGCTTGAAAAACTATTTTAAGCTCTATGCAAATTGTAATTGAGTCTTTTCTCAAAAGTAATATTTCTGTTTTTTCAAAATGCTTGATAATATACGTGTATAAAATATACTTTGTTACATATATCGCTTGAATAAAACTTATACATTATCAGCAATAGGCATGACAACTAATTTTTGTTAGATTGTCGGTCAGGTAGATCAATGAATTAAAATTGTATATTTTTTTTTGCATAATCAATAAACTATGGCGAAAAATTGAGTTGAAATCTCGAATGACGTCACGCTTTTGTGTCGTTACAAAACTGTGACGTATAGAAATACGTATATAATATTTTTCTATTATCTGACGGACGGACTAAATAGAATTTCCTTTTTTTTACCCAGTCGTCATACCTATTTAAGTAAAATTTCGTATAAATATAAATCAATAGCATCAAGTACTCACTTATACATATCGCCTAGTTGTATATCCAAGTTTTGTAATTGTGCAAACAATTGACATTTATCCGTCCACACGTGGAGCTCTTGAACTAACTCTGGCACAATCAGGAAAGTCCTCCATCCACCTATCTTCTTAGACTTGAGAATATCGCCGAATATGTGATCTCCAATGTACAGTACATCTTTGCCTTTAGCGCTAATCAGTTCAGTGAAAACGTCGCATGATCCTGTAAAAATACATCATATTATGAAAATTGCTTAAAAATGGAAGCTGAGTATTCTTAAAGCCTACAACGAACATTCACATTCTGGTATTCTAGCCTACAGGCACATTCTGGTCACTGATTAGACCATATGACCTTACCATCAGCAGCCACTCTACTGCGTAACATCACGCCCTGATAGATCAACGGCCAGGGTTTCATTTACCATTTCCAAACGTCAAATCAATATAGATGAAAGTTCTATATCTACGAGTTCTAGATTCCAGAAAATCCTATAAAAAGTCAACAGTTTCAAAGTATCAATAATTGCGTTTGATTTGTGCTGAACTTTCAGCTCGAGGGAAGGTTGTGCGTCCGATTCGCTCTTGGCTGGTCTTGTCTTTAATCTAACATCTCTGAAAACTTTTATTTCACAACTTCGTTTACTAACATAGAATGAAATAGTACTTTGTAGAGAAAAATCTATCATTTGTACCCACAAGAACACACCCTATTATGTTTCCAAATGCAAGTTGAAGCGTGACGTCTAACCTTAGAAAATAGTTTAACTTGACACGGTTTCAATAAGTAGACAAGTGATGTGCATGTATTAAGTCACAATACTCTATATCCAATCAAGCAAAACTAGAGTTTATTCAAAAGGAAACAGAGTCTTAACTAACCTCCGGAGTAGACGAGTCCTTCGTGTAATGGTCCGACGTGGTGACCCATTTTTAATGCCCCAGTGCGCGTATCAACTTGTCTCAGTGTGGTACCCTCGCCGAAGAATAGTGGTTTCTTGGCATCCACCACGATCCAATCGAAATAAGTTTTCCAATTTCTGTGTGGCTCACCAGGCTGAGAAATAACGTTGAAGTCTTTGGAAATCTCGAATTCCATATTTACTATAATATTACTCTTATTACGAGTAGTCCATGCTGTGATGTTTTGTGAACTTTAAGACAAGCACAATATGTTGTTTCAATAAAACAACTTTGAACTACTTTTAGCGCGTATTAATTATACTTAGATATTTTTTGTATTTTAGACGCTTTGAATAATTTTAAGTAAGAGTAAACCTACCTCAAATAATCCGAAAAACCTATAAAATTTCATTATAATAAAGCAGCAATACGAATTGCTTCTTTATGAAATTAAGAAACTAAAATAAGGTGTAGGTAGAAGTAGAGCAGAAAAATAATACATTTACTTGCAAACAGGTTACGTTATTCTTATATCATGCATGATACATGTCACGATAAAAAGTTATAATTTCAATGTTTGATTTATACCTATCAAAACTTCTATTTCTAGAAGATTAATTACTTAGTTACTATAGCTATCACAAAAAAATCGACTGAAATAATAACAACAAGAGTAAATTTTAATTTAAAAGTGAGGTTTGTCGTGACATTTTAAACAATGTATAATGTTATCAATAAGTCAGTAGCACATTTTTTAAATTATATTTATCAATCTGAGAAAATTTACCTTTTATCAGCCGATATGCTTGTTCGCGAATTTTTAATAATATATTTTAATTTCCAAAAATAATACCTTTGCGCCGTGTGGGAAGTCGAATAGATAGTTCATAATTTTATTTGTAAAATTGTAATCGCTGTTTGTCAGTATGAACAGTTTAGCCCCACTCTCTGTTATGCGGGATAGGAACATCGGAAGCCTCTCATCCTTTTTCAGGTACAAATCTAGATTTTCTGTTGTCTTCTTTTTGAGATCTCCATGTATGTGTACATAATCCACTGCGTTTCTTACATCTTGGAAGATTGATTTGAACGACATTGCTAAATCGCCACATCTTACACCTGTCTTCTCTCTGATTAGAAAGAGTATAAGTAAATTTCATTACAAAACTTTAAATCCCAACCATAAACTACATCTTCGCCTTCTTTAAAAAAGTAGGCAAAGATTTAGTTTACGGTTAGGTTAACACTAAGGCCACGTGATCTTGCACATTGTTCATTCCATCCGTTTATAATTTTCTTATAAAAATGAGTGAGATTTTGATGATATTTTTCCTTATTTGGTAATAAGGAATTACGAGTTTATCAATAATGTTTAGCAAACAAATGATTATAGACAATAATACTATTCATAAATAGGCGAGTAGACTTATAATAACAAGGGATTACATCTATCAAAGCCACTTTTGGCAACTATTTAAGATTCAGTACATGTCATCCGTGTTCATGACACTACGGAACAAAAAGAACATCATAAAACCTAAACTCATACATTCGTATTTTTACGACTTGAGCAAGATGACAAACAGTTGACGACTATTTTACATTTGCTCTCTATTAGTATGGAAGATCATGAATGAATGAATACTTTATGCCACACTATAGCGAAGGCAAGTGTGAGCACAAATTAGAAGTATAATCAGCAGCTTTATCGTTAAAAAAATAACTTTGCCAAGCAAAGCATAGGTTGTACTGGATTTCTAACAATGACATCGTATTATGCATGCAATATGTCAAAATAATTTTGGAATTAACTGCTTGTGAATAGGATTATGTACCGAAATTGAATAAGGACATGTAACATCATAATATGACATTGATAAGACACGAATTGGACAAAGAGCTGGGAAATGATAAATCTACTATTTTGAAGCAAATACGGATGGACATAAATCAAATCAATGACGTTAAGCTCCAGTGGTCCCCAAATATTGGACGTCACAATGTCCAGAATTTGTCAGAAAAAGATCATGACTTATGTTAATACCTATTCACTCGATGTGGCGGAAAGCCAAAACAGAAAGACTTCATAACCGCCTCCTGATACGACACTAAAGTATTTTTAAAACATCAACAAAGTTATTAATTTCCATTTATTTTATACCTACTTATTAGTGTAAATAAATTTTATATGTATTTATACCCTAATTTAGACCTTAAGTATTCATTCCGTATACATATATATTATATGAGCATCATAAGAGCTTACCTCGTGTATTGTGGCGAGTTTGTGAAGAAGTCTATCAGACACGCGATTAAATACGTTTCCGGCAGGTTAAAGAGTGTGTTCAGCACATATACTCTCGACTCGTCTAATGTCAAAAATTTATTCGGATACAATTCGTATACTTGTGAACTGAAACAAAGTTTAAACACCAATTATTAGATCAAGGCAGCCCGTCCATATCAAACATTTACTAGGCCCGCAATCAGGCGGTGTAATACCGACTGAAGTATGTACCTGACACGGAAGGACGGCGAAATTGCATAAGCATTTAAGCATAGAAATAGACAGAGAAACATAATATAAATAAACAACACTCACTGTTTCAAAAATTCAAATCCATGCACGCATACCAAAATGTTACCATAAGCATCTACTTTCAATAAGTTACCGTACAATGTGTCGAACCACAGGCCTCTAGAAAAAAAAAGTAACGTTTATTCTTTCAGATAAAAACCTTCAATAGAATTACAAAAAAAAAAAAAATTTTGTAGTTTATACAAAAAAAAAAAGAAACATATTAACGTACCTTACTGGAAATGAAGGATCATATTCGAATTCCAAAATTTCACGAGGATATCCCTTATATACTAAACGTTCTTTGGTTAAATTAAATCCTAATGTCTCATATTGCGGCGATTTATATTCTGTAAGCAGTATTAAAATATTTTAGATATATATCCCTCGCAATATCAATTAAGAAAACAGTATTATATAAAGCATACCTGCTAATGTGTAGTCCATATCAAACCCGTAAAATTTAACATTTTCTAAATGTAGCGACCTGTTTACGAATATTCTGCAACAAAAAAAAGAAGTCGTCAGCGATGTATTCTAAATTTAGATACCATAGATTAGCATAACCCTCTTTCCTGGAAATATTCAAACGAGATGAGTGACGTATCAAATTATTTGCTAACCGCCAACTATATTCATGAAACTAAAAACTACGAAATAATAGCGTATATTTATAGGCAATAATAATTAAATAAGATAGTGATTTTAAATTTTCCAGATACATAATTAAAATGTTAAAATTTAAAGTGAAAGTAATTGATCTGAATCGTTCATTAGTCATATTTTCAACAATATATTATTTCAGAGGAATCTAATAAACTCCAGAATAAAAAAGGGAATCATAGAAATATTATATAAAAATAGAACTATATTTCAATGTAAATAATACAATGGTTATGCCATGACGTAAACCATTTTCAAAAAATATATCATGGAGAAGTGCTACATGATGTTATAAATTTTCTTTTATGAATATTCAAATTACACAGGTGGCACTGAAACAATTTATTTTTAGCTATATCGAAAAGTATCTGAAATATACAATGGCCATATAGGCGGTAAACTTTTAATAAGACGTAAATGGTTAGAAGTTGAAATTGGATGGATGAATTTAACTCGAGCAAACACGCCATGCCGTCGTCGGCGTTTAAAAATCTAAAGTAAGTAGATAAGAGTTGCGTCAACCCATAGCAATTTTAACGATAAAATACGGTCTATATTCAAATGAAAGGAATAATGTTTCATACAAAATTATGTAAAACAATAAAGTATAATACTTAATTCAATACCCAACATTCTATTAGCGTGGGTACTATTAATTACCGGAAAGACGGTATGATTAGGTTGTCTTACTATAGATTTTTATATCGTTATGTTAATATATGAGATTATTGACAGAATTTTCTTTACCTCTATTGAATAACCAGAACAGACTCCATCTTACTAAGTAATACGTTCTTATAATTAATGTCACGTAACTGTGAGATGACACGCAATTTATAATTGGCTCAATAGATGTTTATAAAGCTTCAGTTTATGATTCGGTGTTTGACTTTCGAATAATACTCATTAGGAATTCTGCTGAATTACACAAAAACTAGAGCACCTTCGTGAGTAATTTTACGTTTGACTCAATTTTTCTACAAACAATTAAAAAAATTCCATCACTTTTTACCCTCCTTGCGTCGCGCAGTCGGGTAAATAGCTTTTATCCATTTTAAAGATTGTTAGATATTTTTAATATATCTGTTAATACCAAAAGAAGATTTAAATCCTAACCCTAAAATTATGGAATTTTCCAATATGATATTTTTGTTACCCTGAAACTATTAACAGTTTGTTAATAAAAACTAAACTCGAAAAATATGAATATAGTATTATGAATGCAATATTTATCAAATACAGTTAAGTGCGGCAGCTGCTGCACCAACGGTCATTATAAATTGAAACTATTTCAGGTCCTAGAACTAGAGAATATTTATGGATTTACTTTAAGGTAAATATCAATATAGCATTTCGAATACAAAATTAACCAAATATAATAAAAAGTTAAGTAAACTCTCCACTGGAAACGATTGCAGGTGTAAATATAAATGACATTGAGAAACATCAAGCGGATGCTAATCCAGATTTAAACATTGGTGCCAATGGATGTTGTTCCGATTAATAATTAGTATGGTGACATTACATGGTCACTCCCAGAAGTCTAGACTCTGGCGAGTATACAAATATCCATTTTCAATGTCTACACAAGCCATATAATGCTCAAATTTTGTTATTCATATACCTTCTTCGAAAATTTACATGCTGAATAAAAAAAAGATAAATATATGTGGTATAGGTAATTATTTGTATAATTCGATTTTATCGTATTTCCTATAGTTAATATAGAGCAGCATTCTGAATAATAATAATAATATTCTGTACAACAGATCTTGAATACAATTACTATGTAGTAGATGAAAAATAAGAATTTATAATGTAGTATTTAAAATCTAATAAAATAAAAAACTGACTTTCCAAAATAAAATGATTAAGCTTTTATAGATTGTAGGCACAACAGTGCAAAATATAACAAAGACACTACATGAATTATAAAAAGAAATAAATTGTATTGTATTGCACTGTAGGTAGAATTCAAAAACTATTGAATAATTTGACATATTGTGTTAGCCTGACGTGAAGCCGTGTGTGCATTATGTATTAAACTGCTTTGTTCTAAGTGATGTTATCACACGACCTTCCTAATTATGTCAATTTTACTTTTCTATCTAACGAACTGTTTCGGAAGATTCCACTTTGTCATGTCATTTTAATCATATCGAGACAAAATTTACTTTAACTAAGTATATTATAAACTTACTCGTTTGGTGCCGCCGTATATCTATCGCCTTTCCCGTACGAGGAACCATTAGTGTATACGTGATCTTTAGATATTTTAGCAGTACCGTTTGCCATGGTGTTTTGTAACTTCATGGCATTTCACTTCACACACTTGTGTTGTTCTAAATCAAACAACTAGAAACAGTTCAACTTAAACGTGTCGCTAACGAAACGACCAACCCACGCTTATGAATGTAAACGATGGTTAAGCAATGCCCGGTACTTTGCTATAGTTCACTGTGTTACCACTGTGTATAAACAAATCAAATTATAAATATAGAATTCATGCAGACGCGTACGTTCCTTCGTAAAATGATTGCAATTCACTCGCACCAGTGAAACGCAGGAAGCGTTTGACTGGATATCCTTGACAGTAACAAAGTCAAATAGGCCAGTTGAGCTCTAGAGTTCTACTACATAAGGCTATCCGAAAGGTTGGCTATTATGAAATAGAATGTTCCAAACATTTAGTATAAAGTTAGTTGTTCATATTAGAGGTCGACCGATCTTCACCGTTGTGATTCAGACGTTACTTTTACTTCTAATGTGACGCATTTCAAGCGCACTTTTGGCTGGCTCACTAATATCAACTAAACAATTCTATAACAGTGACGAATCATGAATGATAACTTAGAGCTGGCATTATAACCATTCCGAGAAAGGAAGTACTTGCTCATTTCTAAGTATTTGTCAGGATGCAGTTTTAATTATACTAAAGTGTAAAAAATGAAATGCAAAAGTTGCTAGTTCTTTCAATAAATACCGAAATTAGAAACCACAACATAATTTCACTTTGGAATAAGATATTACGTTAACCACAAATATGAGGGCCATTTAATATATAAACTAATTAGTAGTTTAGTATAATATAGTTTTAATAATTCCATTATTTCCAAAACATAAACGTAATGGAAAAATAAATATTTTTTTAAAACATATTCGTATTCTATGTAAATTACTGTGAATTGGATTGCAATTCAATGGGAAGCGAATATAGAATGCAAGGCGCATGGGGGAACGATTGCCAGCTTCCCTAATCAATATGTTTCAATAGGGACTTTTAAGACTGCAATTTTTCTATCACCGCCAGGAAATACGCTCGGCACATCAACGAAATAGTCATGGATCATAAATGCAATTTGCAACTTTGAACGCATATTTTGAAATGTTGAAAATATACGCAACGCATTATAATAAGAAGAACACAAAGAATACTTTTATGAATCATGAATAGAACAAATTGTTTACATTGCAACGTTAAAAACAAACAATGAATGAACTCTCATATACACCTTGTATTACAAATTCTCGTTGAACGTTTATTATTTAGTTATTGTTTATTTAACAAATGATAGCCGCAACGTATTCACTGCGTAAATGCTAATGAGTGAACAAAGTCACAAAACACTTTCAAAACCACATTCTTCACAACTGCGTTACTGTCAATGATAATAAACGGGTGAAATATCGCGTACAATGAAAACTCTAATACGATAAATGAATAATTCTGTACGTAGTGAGGCCGAACATCACACTTATTGGTTGCGTGACAACACATCGTAAAGTTAAACAGCACGTATCCAAATCTTGGTTATATGAAAATTACAATCATGTCGGAGGAACGTACTCTGCAGCGGGGGCGTCCGCGTATACTGACGCCTTGGCGACGTCGCTATAGCATATACCCGACAACAAAACAGCCTGCCTGCCTCCCCACGCTATCAGCTGATTCACTAGGTACTTCATTGACTTATTGTTAATTAACAGTATGAATACATTCTAAATGAAAAAGATCAAATATAATAAGCATAAATAAAGTCTAATAAGACGATAAATTCTTAAGTAAACTTACTTAATAATAAAGAGTAAAGATTTGATTGTTTGGTTGCATTGAATTGGCTCCGAACCGACCAATTTTAAAAACTATGCTAACCGGATAAGAAGCGGGAAAATACCTAGACGAAAATAAATGTGCAAACGTTTTATTATTTATAATAATAGGTTCATCAAAAGATAGATCAATTAGCAAAAAATGTTTTAATAAACTAGGCAACAACAACACAATTAATTCATAAAAAATAATGCAAATTAAAAAGAAACCACGCATCCTAGGATGAAGGATTCTCTTATTATTACCATTCTCAAGTAAAATATTCATTCCCCGTAGGGTAAGGGGGTACTTAGATGGCAAACAACGCATATTTCACTATCTATTATATCTATTATAACTATCTATTATAAAGAGAACTTCGTGAAATACATAGTTTTGTCTAGAGTCTAACCCCTAGAAGAAAATACATCACCATTAGGATAATTGTTATAATAATAATAATAAATACTCTTTATTGCACAATAAGGAAAATTACATAGACTCTCATAAATCCTATTAATATTATAAATGTGAAAGTTTCTTTGAATGTTTGTCCGTCAATCGCGCCGAACCTACTGAACGGATTTTGCTGAAATTTGGTATTTAACAGGATAACTTTTATCTTTTTATCCCACTATAGATTTCCCGAAGGAGCACGCGAAAGATAGTATTTACATAAGAACGTATAAAACGCAGCCTTATCGCTAGCCAGAAATTTCTTCCAGGCAACCTTACATTAGATGAAAAAA